AAAAGCTGGATCGGGACATCCCTAGCAGCCGGCTGGACCGGGGCTCAGTTTACTCAGCATCATTTTCCTTAAACAGTCATCCGAAGCCCGGGTTCCCAAAACTTTCAGTCCACGACCCCCAAAGTTACCGTGGAAGTGACCTCCGACCCCCATAAATGTATAGAAACTAGCACAATAGGAGCATCTGGACACGATACTGACAACACAAAATAGCCATCATATTATTTAACTGTATCTTACTCCTCACTTCAATTTGAACAACAGGGTTGTCACGATACTAAAGTTTTTAACTCGATACGGATACTCAGGAAAATATTCGATACTCTATACCATTTTCGATACCAACAAAGACCCAAAAATGTAACTGAATTTGGACAGGTTAGTGTGTTTCAAACTGACCTGTTACTGATGTTATGGCGTGTTATTAGGGGGGCCACTGCCAGGGGCAGGCCCACCTATTACTGTCCAGAATACTTATTCCGGTTCGACGGATCGGGCCCAAAGTCGGCACGCGCGTCCAGACCCACCTAGCCATGCGTGCTTGTTCAAAACTTTCTCAAAGGAGCGGGCGTTTCTGAATAAATGGCAGACAAGCGGCCAAAACATGTCAGTTGACTCAACTGACGGTTTGGAATGTTGAGCTTGGCCAGACTGCTGTTGCCGCGGCAATGAGCAGTCCCTTAGCTATTGACGTTAGCTATTCAAGGCTAACGTCAAGTTAATGATCATAAACAACGTAAATAAATAAATAAACAAATCAGAGAGAATAAGCGCGGGGGGGACTTTAGAAAATGAGTATCGTATCCGGATACAACGTTTTAGTATCGATACTTTTACTACAGCTGAGTAAAAGTCATAACCACGCTTTTCCAACAAGGCCAGGCAGAGCATATTTAAATTTTCCATTCACAAACAGACTTATAGATTTACACTGCAAAGTTCACTATGTGGAAGAAAGAAATATAGAGAATTATTTTTAATTATATATTATATTATATTTCTAATTATACCTTCAAAATACCTTTTTACTTCTCTTTCACTGAGTCTGTTGTTCTGTGTCTTTTTTCTCGTCCTGCAGCCATAGAGGCCAAACCCCCCCCCCCC